TCCGTGATCTGTGTACAACCTTCCATGATCCGAGGACCCGTCCATGATCTGTGTACACCATCCATGATTTGAGGACCCGTCCATGATCTGAGGACCTTGTGAATGATCTCTGTCCCCGTCCATGATCCTGTGTCCCCTCCCATGATCCTGTGTCCCCGCCCATGATCTGCCAAGGTGCAGGCAATCTTAGAGGAAGTGGAGCCGAGTGCCCCTGAGAGATGAGAGGGTGACACTTGGCCGCACTCCGGACACGTTGTTAGGAAGGGCCAGTCCTGGGAAAAGACGGCATGCTGCGGGAAGGAGAGGGTCAACAAAGAGAGGAGGGGCCTCCACCAGGTGGCTGGACATGGTGCTAGAGCAGTGCGCGCCAGCATGGAGATTGTGCGGATCCCAGGACGGGGTGTGGTTCCAGTCTGTTGTTCAAGCTCGCTGAGCCATGGCTGACATGCTGGCTCCTGTCGCCCAGGCCAGCACCCTCCGAGGCGTCTCCCGTGAGCAGGGATTTGACACTTGCCTCAGCGTGTGCTTTTTCACGGCTGATTCACGCTGTCACAGGGAAAGCAGCTTGAGTGTGTATCTGTTTCCAGTTGGGCTTGTTCTCCACGTGGAGCTGCTGTAAGTTCTGCTGCAGATGGAAAGGTCGGTGGTTCCAGTGCAGCCACGGCTCTGTAGGAGAGAGGCTGAGTCTGATTCTATAAAGATGTGCCGTCAGGAAGCCCATGGGGCTCAGCTGCTCTCTCAGGTGGCGTCTCGAGTCCAAATCAGCCTGGAGCTGCCAAACAACAGGACTTCTTGTCCAGGTACCTGTGTGAGCGCTCTTCTGGAAATGCCTGGAGGTGATCTTGTTGGTCCCATGCCATGTGCCTGGTTACTGCCAGGCCATTCAGGAATGGCGGTGCCACCTCTGGGCTCCGGCCAGCAGTGTCTCTGCATGCCCACGGCTCCATGCCACCGCTTACTACCGTCAGTATTTTCCAAGGTGGCCATTGGAGGAAGTGGCTTCCTCACCACTCTTTCCATTTGCAATCTTTCAATGGCGAAGAGCGTTCTGTCTGCGCACCCGTTTGCCACGGGCACATCCTCTCTGCTCAGGCTTTCCCTGTTGACAAGGTTGGTTTGTCTCCTGGCTGAGTAAGGGCTTTGCTAGCGTTTCTCTCCGTCCTTTGTGCAGGGCCTTTCCCAGTGGGAGTGGGGCATCACGCTGAGGCCGTCTCCTCAGATGTTTCTTTTATGGTCTTACTGTTGAGGTCAAGTCTAAGCTTTCCGCTTTCACTCAGGGTCACAAAGCTAGGTTTCTAGCTTTATATTGGTATTTGTTTCGGAGTTCATTTGTGTTTGGATGACCACTGCTTGAGGACCTTTTATTTCTTTTCTTGGATCTTTCCTCCATTGAATTGATTCTATACCGGTGGCCGTATTTTGTGAGTCTTCTTTGAGCGCTTGGCTCAGTTCTGTGACCTGTGTACTCGTCCATGTGCCAGGACCACCCCATCCTGCCTATCAGCCCTTCTGCCTTTGTGGTCATTGGTTCTGACCCCCCGCAGCCTTACAGGACAGAGCAGACACCTCCAGCTCGTCCAGGCTGTGGATCTTTCCAGAAGTGGACTGGCACACCACTTTCACACACTGGCATACATGTGAACCACTGACCTTTTGATTCGCGTCCAAGCATTTAACCCCCATGCACTCAGGCCTCCCTTTATGGTTGATGGTGGGCGTTGTCCGTCTGATTCGGTATGGACAGCAGAGCCAGGCGCTGGCGGGCCTGCCTCATCCGCACGGGCGACAAGCGCTTCCTCTCCTCCCAGACCCTCAACTTCTCCAGGCAACGCCCGTGGCCTAGTGGTAAGGAGCAGTACTGTAAAACCAAAGATGCACAGTTCAAATCCACTAGCTACTTCTCAGAACAGGCAGTCTCCCCCCACAGACAGCCTGCTGGAGGGTCGGCTGTGGGTTGGTTCCGAGTTGACAGTCCACACCACCACCATAACTGTTTCTCTAGATTTTGGGTCCCTCCAACAGGGGGCTCGTCCTCCAGGCCCCATCAGCTAGCGTCCCACAGCCACTCGCGAGGTTCTCAGGGCCCAGTTCTTTCAGACGTAGAAGCCACACCTTCTTTCTCCCTGGTCTGCCCCAGCCTGGGAGCTCTGCTGATGTCTGCGGCGCTGGGGGCCTGACTGCCGGGCTGGTTCCAGCAGCCTGCGGCCACGCAGCACATCCGCCCAGCTGACAGGCGTGTGGTGCACACCTGCTGTACGGCCGGCAAGTGTGGCTCTGTGTTTGGATTTGAGGTCAAGAACTTGTTCAATCCAGCACAGTGATTCCTCACCTTAACTGCTGGGTGCAGAGAACTCTGAGGTCTTAAGTACAGCTTTTACCCCCTCTGCTTTTTCTCCAGTTTTAACATTTTATGAGTTTTATAAGGGAGCTCTGGGGGCCTACGGGTAAGGCTGGCGGTTTGAAACCACCGAAAGATGGGAGAAAGATGGGCAGTCTCTCTGTAAACCCACTGTGCTGACAGGACAGCTCGGTCGCCTTTCTTGGAGGTAGATGACCAAGGGTCATCTGGGTGTGCCCTGGTCAGGCTCCTGACTCATGAGGTGCTTGATCCAAGCATGATGGCCCTGTCCATGCTGTCTCTGATGGCGCCTGCTGATCTCGATGGCCCCAGGGGCCTCTTCCCGGCTGTACACCCTTGATGCACGTGGGGACCAGAACAGGCTTTGCTCACCATTTGGGATGAAGCAGCTAGGGTGGCGGCTGGACTTTCATCATATTCCAACCCAGTGACCAGAGCATAGGGAGACTGTGTGGACCATGGCCGAGGCGACCTTCCCGGTCACCCACTGGGTCATCTTTTCACTCATGAGCTGCTGAGGTCTGGGAGATGGGCAGTCACTGGCATGGCCAGGCTTCACCCGCAGCTTTGCAGTGCCGAGAGATGCCCCCAGGGCCAGCAGCTGGGTTTCTGTTCTTGGAGGTCCTGCCGTGACCTCGGTGACGCTGATGGACCCTCTCTCTATGTTGAAGGATGACTTCAGTTGCCATCATTTTCTGCAGACTCCCCAGGTCCTGGACAGCTGGCCATCCGGGGGATCAGGGTGTGTCTCTGGGGAGGGTAGTGGGAACCTGCACCACAGCTCGTCCTGGAGCGGTCCCAGGGCTGCGCTGGGAAGTGCCACGAGATCACACCCCCTGGACAGCCTGCAGCCCTGGATAGCAGAGGTCTTCGTCTACCCCAGAGTCCAGCACTGGGCGACACGCTAGTCTGAATGACCCTGTGGAGGCCACCAGGCAGGTCCTGCAGGGTCCCTGCCAGCTCTGGCTGATTGGACCTGGACACCATAGGGAGGGGGACCGCTTGGGGTCTGTGTGCTGCTCTGAGAGGGGGCGGCCCGGAGGAGCAGGGAGGCTCCAGCACCTTAGCTGTGCGCTCCGAGCTACGTTGCTGTACTTGGTATTTTTAGCCTCACATCCAGCACGTGGCTGGGCAGAAATAGCTCCTCGGCTGTTCTGGATCCAGTGTCTCTGGGCGTCGGAGCGGGGGCACACACACACACACACACACACACACACACAGTGGCGATTTGGTTGTGGATGACGCTGGCTTCTGTTGGTAACACTGTAAATGCGGCATTTATGCTTTAGAGTACGGTCCCGGTGGTTCCTGGGGCCCCAGGTGATTCCAGGGTGAGCAGCTCCTTGCTCAACTCGTTCCCTCCTCACCTTCCAGTCAGCGAGGCTGGGGTGCGATGGGGCCTAGGGCTGACCTGAGACCCTGTGCCAGGGCTGCAGCCCAACAGGGTCTGCACACAGTATGGGGGTGACCTGAGGCATCATGACCTCTTCCTGTGGACAGTGGACACTGGAGCCCCCCTCGACCTGGGGTCCACGCCGGGGAAGCTCTGTCCTCGGTCCCTGCAGGGCACGGCTCTGTCACGAAGCTGCTCCAGGACCCTGCTCTGAACCATGGGTCCTGCTTGTGATACAGTTGCCCACACCAGCTCCCCAGCTCGTGGCTTCTTGGGGCTTGTAGAATTTGGCCCACAGGCCAGGCCGCACCACCATCCTCAGCTTGGGCTCATTTGGTGCTTTCCAACTCCAGGTTCTGGAAGACTAAGAATGGGGCACAGCCTCTCCAAGCCCTTGTCCCAGCCCCTACCTGTCCCCCCACCCCCCAGCTTTGAAATGAACCTCAGGCGTTCACTTTTTCCTGTGAAACCTTGAGAGTGAGGGGTCCCTGGGTGGACAGTCTGCAGGCGGAGCGAGGAGGCAGGGGGATGGACAGACCTGCCCTACACCTGCAAAATGAGCCATGGGCCAGACACAGAACCAGGAGTCCACCCTTGGCTGCAGGCAGCGTGGCTGGGCCAGCACCTTCACCCCTCCAGGCCCCTCCCTCTGTCACACACCCCTGCCTGCAGGTGCCCTGGAGGGCTGGGTGGACCCTGTAACTTCTCAGCAGATGGATGTTAAAGGAGGTCAGTACTGGACAGGCCACAGGGATCTGAACAAGTGAGGTGGGACATCGGACGACCTGGGGTGCCCAACCAAGAGTGCTGGCGGGCACCCCCTCCTGCTCACTTCTGTGACCCCCGTCCCCAGCTGTGGTCTGTGGAATGTTCACAGATGTTCACAGCAGGTGCCGTGTGTCCTGACTGGGAGCCACTGACCACTCTGTCCAAGTGGCTCCCCCCACATGTGACAGGAGCCCTTGCTCACTGAAACGTAGCCTCCTCAGAGGCAGATTGGGGCCTGGCAGGCCTGGGGGTGCACTGCCCCCTGGGGGGGTGGTTTGCAGGGCCTGCTTGCCCATGTGGCTCTTGGAGCCGGCCAGTGTCCTATCCCTGTCATGGCCACATCTTCAACCCCATCTTGAGCCCCAGCCACAAGTGTTGGCCTGTGGGGCTGAGTCAGGAGCTGTCTGATTCTTTGTCACATGGGGAGGGGCAGCGTGGTCAGCTGGACTGTCCCCCGACCCGATCATCTTGTGTGTGCAGTGCCGGAGAAGCCGGAGCCGGTACCTCTGGAGAGCCGCTCGTGCGTCCTCATCCGCCGAGACCTGGTGGCCCTGCCCGCCAGCCTCATCAGTCAGATCGGGTACCGCTGCCACCCCAAGCTCTACTCGGAGGGGGACCCCGGAGAGAAACTGGAGCTGGTAGCAGGTGAGTCCCTCCCATGCCCCCCACCATTGTGGGCAAATGTCTCCCCTAGAACAATGGACTCATCACCACGCAGGCCCTTTCTTCCTGGAAGAATGTGTCGTTAAGGGAGTTCTTCAGTGGAATTAATTTAGCATTTTAATCGACTCCCCTGGGCGGAGCCTCTGATTGGCTCTGGATGTCATGATTGTACTGTGTGTAATTCAGGTCACTGGGAAGGAGCTGTGAGCTGTGGCCCTCCCAGCGACAAGGCTGCCATTAAAGGGAGGCCTCTCGGTGGCTGGGGGTCCAGCTCCAGGCTGAGTCCGGACGCCGACTGGGGCCTCTGTCTGGTCTGATGCCCCCTGGACTCCTGTCCACGCCGTGCTTTCCAGCAGAGCCCTTAAAGTCACAGCTGTCCCCTGTGCTTGGCGCTGGTCAGCAGCCCACCTCACAAGCACCCCCTAGCGTCCCGTGCATGGAGGTGGCATCTGGGGCTGCCCTTCTCTCCAGAGGAGAATGTTTCTCTCCTGAAGATCATACCCATGGCTGGCAGGTGAGGGCTGCGCTCGTCCGGGAGCTACATGGCCTTTTTAAGGGAGCCCTGGCTTACATCTGCGCGGACGCGGCTGTGCTGCAGAGGCCAGGCAGGCACCCTGGAGTCCCTGGGAGTCCTGGGGCCCGCGGGAACTATGGAGAAGGTGGTCCTGCAGAGGCCCAAGCCCTCCGCACCCTCCTGCTCCAGGGCAGCCAGTACAGAGTTTGGGGAGCAGCCTGGAGCTGTCCTAGCTGTGCAGGGAACCTCCCGTCTCAGGCCGTGCTAAGCCTCGGTTTACTGATGTGTCCCTGAGGAAGTCTGTGGGGGCCCACTACATGGTGACGTGGCTCCGAAGTGGGCTTCAGGGACCTTGAACATGTCTGACCACAGACTGTCCACTGCTTTCTCTGAGTGGCGGCTGGCAGAGCAGTGACTGTGGCTTAGGTGAAACGGCCCCGGTGAGTGGGACGGGCCTGCCGCTACATCCTTGATGGCTGGGGTGCCCACTGAGCCGGCCTCTCAATGCTGGGCCCTGTCTCTGGGCCGAGGGGCCCTACCTGGGAGTCTACACTGAGGCTCCCCTACCCCAAGCTCTCCATGTCCTGGACGGCAGCCCGGCCTCGGTTCACGAGCTCGTGAGGACGTGAGACAGGCCACCAGGTCCTCAGCACAGCTGTCCCACAGTGCAGAGACCTGGCCTGGGGAACATCCAGGCACTGGGTGTGGTGGGGTGATGGGCGGGGTCCCGGTCAGGGTCCCGGTTGAGCTGAGGTGGCTGCCCCATTCTTGGCTGCAGGCTCCGGAGTCTACATCACACGGGGCCAGCTGATGAATTGTCACCTGTGCGCGGGGGTGAAGCATAAGGTCCTGCTGCGAAGGCTCCTGGCCACCTTCTTTGACAGGTGGGTCCAGGAGGGGGGAGGGTGTGGAGGAAGGTCGGGGCCCCTGTAGCCAGGAGCTGTCTGCAGGTGGAGATAAAGGTCGGGAAACCCCTGTCTGGGAGCTGACTGTGGGTAAACATAGGGGTTGGGGTCCCTCCGGCTGGGTTCTGTCTGTAAATGGAGGCTGAGCTATAAACTGGACCCTGAAGGAGCAGTCTCTGCCGCCTAGATGGGCACAGGGGGCCTGACTGCAGACATTTCTCAAAGGGCTAGTGAACACCCCAGCCCAGCCCCTTAGTGTGTCCTGCACCAGCATCTGTGGAGGACCCTGCAGGCTAGGGCTTCCCTGCAGGACAAGGATCTGACCTGGCTTGGGGCCTGCTTAGCCTGGGAGTCCCGCACTCCTGTCTCTCAGGAGGGCACACCCTTCTCCTTCCCATGCTCACCATGACCCCTGAGACCCCCGAGCCAGGACCTTTCCACGGAGGGGAGGGCCTTCAGTGTGCAGGGCAGGGATAGCCAGCCTTCACGCCCACCTCAGCCGCCTCCTCCTCCCGTCCCCCCAGGAACACCCTGGCCAACAGCTGCGGCACCGGCATCCGCTCGTCCACCAGCGATCCCAGCCGCAAGCCACTGGACAGCCGCGTCCTGAATGCTGTGAAACGTAAGGGCCATATCCAGGGCCAGGGGTTGGGGTTGAGGACCGGGGTGCTGGGGCTGAGTGCCTTCAAGGCCTAGAGGGTTGGGCCCCAGGAGCCAGTTTTGAGTCAATTCTGGGAATGGGGGTCTCAGGGATCAGGGTCTCAGACACTGGAGTCCTGGAACCATCACGCTGGTACCCGGGGTCTCTGGCGGCCCACGACCCTTCCTGTGTCCCATCAGGGTACTTGAGCAGGGACCGAGGGGACAAGAGACGAAAGGACCTTGTCAGAAGGCAGCCTCCAGGGGCTCGGGTTCTGTGGGTTCCTAAGCTGAATTCAGCTGTGAAACTATTTTAATATGTGAAATAGATCTAATTTTCCTCTTCGAACAAACCCCTTATTTACATTTGGAGGTTATTTTGAGCCTTTGCCATCTGCTCGGCCGCTCTGCCTCCCGCTCCCGGTGGCGCGGGGGCGGAGCAGTCCATCTCCGAGGCAGACCGCCCCCCTGGAGCCCAGATGCGGGCGATGCAGGCTGATGCGGGCCAGTGCGGGCCGGCCTGTGTCACAGCGCTGGCCCTGCATGTCCTGTGGCCGCAGGAACATACAGTGATGTCTTTTCTGGCTAAGAGCATCTCATGTGAGCATCGACTCCATGCTGCAGCGACAAGGTGGGGGACACTGTGCAGCAGTGGTCAAAGGCCCCTGTGCTGGGTGACAATGACAGGCTTAGGTGGAGTGTGCGAACACTCCCACCCCTGGCCTGGCCAGCTCCTGGGGGCCTGCTCCAGGGGCCAGTGAAATGGAGATCTGCCTGTGGCCAGGGTAGGGGTTGGGTTAGTGCTACTGGCCTCTTCCCCTGGGCCCCTACAGTCTTCGCCCCACCCCCATCAGGAAGAACCTGTGGCTGGCCCCTGCACCCACCAGGGACAGAGACTTAGGGGGCCCTGCAGAAGCACATTCTCAGCCTGACTGGCCCCCTCCCTGAATCTGGAGCCCTTAGGTGGGGACTGTCCCACAGGAAGTGGACCTTCCAGGACTGTCGCCAAGGTGTAGCTGGACCTCCACCCTGTGGCCCACAGCCACATGTCAGCCAGCACTGGGCTGTAGGGTGTCCTGAGGGTCCCTGGGCCCTGTTGTCCCAGCGTGGGCCCCTGTGCTCGTGAGCACTCTGGCCCCGGGAGGGCGTCCAGATGCCCACGCCCGCTGCCCTCTGGTTGCAGTCTACTGCCAGAACTTCGCCCCCAGCTTCAAGGAGAGTGAGATGAACGTGATCGCAGCCGACATGTGCACCAACGCCCGGCGGGTCCGCAAGCGCTGGCTGCCCAAGATCAAGTCCATGCTGCCCGAGGGCGTGGAGATGTACCGCACGGTCATGGGCTCCTCGGCCGCCAGCGTGCCTCTCGACCCCGACTTCCCGCCCGCCACCCAGGTCTTTGAGCAACGCATCTTCACTGAGCGTCGGGCTGACTCCGCGGCCATCGTGGCCCTCCGAACAGACACTGTGAATGTAGACCTGGCCTCCGCCCCCAACCCCGCCTTTGAGGCCGGCGAGGAGGCCGATGGGGCGGGCTCGGTCATCCAGGAGGTGGCCGCACCCGAGCCACTGTCCACCGATGGCCAGAGCCCAGCCCAGCCCTTTGAGCAGGGCAGCGCCAGCTCCAGCCGGCCCGCGACCCCTGCGCGGAGACCAGAGCCCGGCAGCTACCCCGGGACTTTGTAAGGGCCGGTGGGCGGAGCAGCGGGCGGGGTCTTGGCGCTAGAGCTTGCATGTGTTACTAATTCAGACCAATGTGATCGAGCCACAACCTACTGAACCGCTACTGTTGCCTGAGACAATGTGACTTTACTCTGCTTGTATTTAACGTATGAAGGAAACTGTTGCATTCGTTATACTGTAAGCGACTAGGCCACTGCAGGTCTGGTTGCGAGAAGGTCCCGGGGCCCCTGCTGCTGCTCCCAGGCTAGTCCCCAATGGTAGCTCTGCCGCCCCGGGGCTTGGGGGTTCAAGCCCCCTGCCCTCCTCCCACCCCTTGCCCCTCTCTCTGCCCAGGAAGATGAAGCCAGCGGCCACCAGTGGCCTGTGACTTAGGGGCGTGCATTGTGTGACACTCCATTCTGTATCTGTAAGGACCCCTGGGGCTGTGGGGTGGGGCCAGGCCACAGGGAGCAGACTCCTTGGTTCACTGATTGGTTTGCGTTTTCTGCCTACCCAGGTCCACCGAGCATGTGTGCACGAGTGAGTGTGTGGATATGTGCACGTGTGTGGGGGTGTGCACATGTGGGTGTGCGTACATGTGGGGGGTGATGGGCAGTGGGATGGGTGTTACGCTCCCTCAGGTGAGGAAGGGCCCCTGGCTGTGCCGCATCCCCCTTCTCCACCCTCGCCATTGCCCACCATCCTGGCTGGGGCTGCCTGCACTCAAGGGGTACCCCTGCTAACAGCCCCACCACCTCATCTACTTTGGGGTTCTGCTTCAGTTTTGTTTTTATTTTGTTTTGTTTTTCATTTAATGGAGATTTGTTTCTTCTATGTTTTTGGACCCAAAAGAGCAAAAATTAAGGAGGTATGGGTGTTCCTGCCTCCCCACTCGCAGCTGGGTCCCACTCACCTTCGTGGGGGATGCCTCGCTCCTGGGTCTGGTCCAAGGCAGCAGGTGTCCCTAGTGTGGGCCTCCTCGTATGTGCCTGGAAAGACATGCTTCTGTGGTTCCGAGGCTGCAGACCAGACACCCAGTAGCTAGGCCTGGCCCTTGGCAAAGTAGTGGGGCCCTGGAGGCTGGCCTGTCCCATTGACGAAGGAGTAGGGGGTCCCCGAGGCTGGCCTGTCCCTTTGAGAGTCAGTCTGTTTGGGGAAGGGGCACAGGGAACCGTCAGGTCAGGGACACCCCTCCCCAGGCCTGCTGCTGTTCTTCCACACCCCCAACACTTGTCCCCCTCAGTCCCTCTGTCCTTGCATTGCTCTTACCCATGTTTCCATCCCCTCTGTCCAGAGTCCTTGACCCCTGTGGACCAAAAGCTAGGAGCTGTTCTCCTGCTGGAAGTGGGGGCTTGGCCCAAACTTGGGGTGCCTGGCCTGCCTGGGTGGGGTGCTGTTAGACCTGGCTCTTCAGTGTCCCCTCTTCCTCTGGGAGGAGGTGTGGAGGGAATGTGCCTCCCTGGCCAAGCTCTGGGCTTTCCTGCCTCCTGAAGCTGTGCCAGGCATATGCCTTCCAGAAAGTTCTCCTGGCTTCCAGAAAGGGTATTCCTGCAGGGTAGGCAGTGGGGGTGCTTATCACAGCCTCTCTACACACCTCCCCTGGCCAGGCCCGGCAGCCAGGCCCTGTACCTCGGACTGGACGTGGCTGTAGAGGGCTCTGGGATACCCACTGTGGCTAGCACCCCTCCCGAGGGACCTCTTCCGGTGACCAGCCAGGACAAGGACCAGACAGGTGTTCCTGGAGCCAGGAAGAGCTGCATCGGGGTCTGGACTCCACCCACCTCCCCAAATTTGCACTTTAGTTGAACCATCACTGGGGACATTGGGGAGACTGGCCACCTGCCCTGGCTGTCCACTAAAGGGCTCTCTCCCTCCGCTGCAGAGTGGGCATGCCTTGGGACCCGCGGCCGGGGCAGGCCACATGGAGAGGGCACCCCACTCGGGGAGCATGGTGCCCGAGAACCCCACCCCCAGCTGCTTCTAGTCATTGTTTTGTCATTGGGGTCAGAAAGGCAGGCGATCTGCAAAGCTGCTGAGACCCTGCTGCTTCCCAATGTGAAGAGCCCTCCCCGGCCCGAGTGGTGTCCACTGTGGGCATGTGGGTGGGTGCGTGTGGCTGATGATTGTACCTACGTGGGGCCCTCCACGTCCTGAATGTCCCATGGGCGGGGGGCCGGCTGGGGGGCCTTCCAGAGTGCCTTAGCGTATCGTGACCATTTTCCCCAAGAACCCCGGCCCCTCCCATCCTTTGTTTACAAGATGACCAGTTCCAGAACCGGGGCTACCCTGTCCTGAGAAGTGACCCCCCGGCACACCAGACCCTGTAGCCTGAGAGACAAGCCCCTCAGTATTTATGTCTGCACCTTATTTCTAAGCCTGACTATTAGCAATACACATATCATATATAGAGTCTATATAGAGCTAAGTTATATCAGCGCCTTTTCGGGAGGCGAGGGCACGGGACTGGGCGGCGGGCTGGTGCCAGAGACAAGGCCACTCCCGCCCTCCTGCCCTCCCAGAGGGGGACGTGGCGCAGGAGGCAGTGGGAGGGCGTGAGTGCAGAGCCTGGGGAGGGACGGAGGTGTGGCAGTTACTGTGAGTCTGGCGGCCCGCCTGGCCGGCGCCTGGTACTTGAATTCTGTCTTGTTCTGCACTGTGTCTGGTCTCGTCCAGGATTCGCTGTGGTTTCGCACCTTTGCATTCAGTTGTTTGTCTAATTTTGTCCTGAACGTGGACGAAGCTGTGGATAGAGACCAGGAAGGAGACTGGTCTGTGGAGGGGCTCCGGGGGACCCTGTGGGACAGCAGCCTGGCGGCCCGGTTTCTGCCCTCCACACGTGTGTGTATGTGTCAAGCTGGGGGGAGCGGATGTGTGCTGTCCATGGGCAGGGGGCTGGTGGAGCCCGTCCGCCCCAGGGACCGCACTGCTCTAAGACCAGGGCTGACCTTTCGAGCTATTAGGAGCAGACTGGCCAACCCTGCCCCCTGCCATTTCTGCTTGAGCGCCCCTTGGAGGGCCGGGTTCCTAGGGAAAGGCCCACGGAGCCCCAGCATGGACAGGGTTCTAGCAGGCCACACTTTAACTACTGTGCCAGAAGGGTGCCACCCGAGACAGCCACGGTGCACACCGGATGTTTAAAAAATGGCAAGGTTGCTTGTTTTGGTTGGTTTGTTTGTGTTTTGGGGAAACAAAAAAAAAATTAGAAGGACGCTCTCAAATTGGACAGCCTGCTTGTGTTCTGACCAGTCACTTCCACCGTCCACATCTTGCACACGACCGTGATTTCTATGTTAAAAGAAGCCAAAACTTGCAATACTATTTTTAGCAAACAAAAAAAACCCCAAACCCAACAAAACCCCTGAGTATAAGTGTATAAACATTTTTGCCTTGAACATTTGGATGGCACTTGATTCAAACAGAACATTAATCCTTTGGACAGAATGTTTTGGGGGAAGAGATTTAAAAAGGGGATGGTTGTTGGTTTTTTGGTTTGGCTTTGTTTCTTTTTTCTTTTTTAAAAAAAAAAGAGTCTGTTTAGGGTTAAAGTAGTACTGTAACTCATGACTGTTAAAATAAAGAGATAAACCGTCGCTGTGCCGTAAGGAAGGTTCCAGACTTACCACTGAGCTAAGTTTCAGCCACAAAAGATGCTTCCCCCTTCCTTCTCCGGGAGGACCCTGTCCCCTCCGCGCGCGTCCTTGGCCTGCGGCCTCCCTCTGTGCTGTACCTCGGTAGAGTGCACTGTTATACTTTGTAGCCACGGCTGACATATCTGTAACTAAAACAGCAGAGACTTCGGCTCCCTGCACACGAGCCAGTTCTGAGGTGGAAGCCATCAGCCTTGATGAAGGGTGTGATCATTCATTGTTGAGCGCTTTGTAACATTCACATTTACAAGATAATAAAGTCAGTTCAAACCCACGCCCTTCCTGGACTTTTTTGGCTCACAGGACTGGGAGAAACTTGGCATTTCGGGGGTGCAGGATCCCACAGATGGGGTCCCCCGGCTGCTGGAGCGGTGGGGTGGGATTTGGGACCACCTGCTCCACTCCATGAAGTGTCCCCTCTCCCAGTGTCCCAGGTATGTGCCGGTCAGCTAGGACCAGTCTCAGTGCCCAGGTGGTCTTGGAGGAGATTGTATCTAGGCGGTGGGGTTTATTTCATTGTTGCTGCAGGATTTCCACTGACTGCTCTCTGGGCCTCAGTCTTGCCTGGGAAATGGCAGCAGGGGCAGTGGTGGCTTGGTGATAGAAAGGCTACCTTCCACCCAGGAGGCCCGGGTTTGACTCCCCGTCCAGGATGCCCCAGTGTCTGGGAGGAGGGTGTGCGGCTGGGATGTGGACACTCAGTGGAGCGTGCAGACTGGGTCCACCTGCTCGTGACAGAGCCCGACCTACTGGGGGAGGGCGCGGGCTGGGTGGCGTTGCCGTCCCCCAGCTCAGGCTGTCAGGGAAGGTGCAGGCTGGGCAGACCGTCGGGGAAGGACAGACGGTGTTCCAGTCCTGTCAGTGGGGACTTACTGAAAGACAACAGCGTGAGCAATGGCCCTGCCCCTGTCGGCTCTTCCCGGGGCCAGGTGGTGGCCCTGTGGCCAGATGGTCCTGCATCAGCGATGGGCTCTTTTCCTTTGCTGGTCCATCCGTCAGCCCAGAAGGACCTGGCCCTTGAAGGGTGGTTTCTCCAGGGGAACTGTGGTCAGCACAGAGGGGCACTGAGGTAGGCGTGGCAGGGGGTGGCTTCCACAGGGGCCTCTGGGCTGCAGCCCCCCTGGCATGTGATGGATTTGACTCCTGAACCTCTCCTCTATGGGTGCCTCAGGAAGCCAGCACAGCTCGTGGGGTCTCCCTCCAGGACCCCCTTTGCCCAGAGCTCTTCCAGTGCCCCCACCCTGAAATGGACAAGAGGCCCCAGGGAGCCCCCATAGATGCAAAGCAGGGCCCTGCAGTCATGGTGTGGCCTCCTGGTGGCTTCACACGGCCCAGTAGTGAGGTGCAGCCCCAGGTCAGGGAGGGGGACTGGGAGTCCTGGGGGCCAGTCCTGGCCGAAGTAGGTGTCTCATAGTGGGGGACACGATGAGCCAAGGAGAGGCAGTCGGGAGCTGGTCCAGCCTCTAGAACGTGCTGACTGACCTACGTGGGGCTTGGAGTTGTGGTCGGGCTGCCCCCCTGGTGGGCGTCAG